CCCCAAAACCCCAAAACCCCAAAACCCCAAAACCCCAAAACCCCTGAGAGTCTGACATTATTGAATTTCCAACATGTTTTTAATCCTCTTTTTTACCGACAGCAGTAGGGTACTGATGTCCAGGCTCTAATAAATTATTCTGGAGGTCATTCATGTTGTGCCTATCATAATGCTCTTTTAGCAATTCTTTCTTAGTGATAGTGCCAATAAGATGGCCATCTTTTACTACAAATATCTTAATTACATTAAGAATTGAGTACAAAAACACTATTTTCTCAATTTTTGTGTCAGGAAGGACAATGAAAGGGGCAGAGTCAACCTTGATAATTTGATCTTCCCAGTCAATAGGTGCGTTCCAAAAAGATTGCAAGATGGATTCATCAGGGTCAGATGCTTCTAAAACTAACAATGAGCCTTACCTGGGTCATATTCCTCGGATTCTTGTTCTTCACCCTCCGCATATTCTCGAATATGTAAATGAGTATTCTTTCTCTTTATCTGTACAGGAATATAGTCATTCGTCTTGGTGCCAAAAATATTCTTTTTGATGACATTGCTCTCTTCAGTAGAGTTCTGAATAAACTCAAAGTCATCGTTTTTGTCTCTATTGATAGACCTGATGTAGTTGAAATAGATATTCAAGGTATCCCTGACAGAGTATGAAAAGCAATGCTGATTCATTTGGTAGTAGTTGATCAAATATTTTCTCAAATATTGAATATCAATACTAAAGGCCAAACAGCCTTCTTTGTTAATCACTGGTATCATTCTCTGCTGAGCGCTTATGAGTCCATTTAAATCAGAAATCTTTGAATCTATGCGTAGATAGTCGAAATTAACTTTCATTATGTCTTCTGCCTTTAATTTAAAACACTCTGTTCTTATGGTTGGAAGGTATGGAAGATCCTTTAGATCTAGAAGAGTATCAAAAATGCTATTTCCAAGAGCATTACTAATAGCATAGCTAATAATTACTCCAATCAATACTGGGATCATGTAGCTTAGCTCTCCGTTGATCTCAAATACAATTATTGCAACAGACAAAGTTCGGGTTACACTAGCTGTCATTGCTGTAGCACCTACCAGAGCATAGGTTGTTTCATGAATAATCTCTCCAAAAATTAATCTCAGAATATACCCAAAGAATCGTCCAAAAACTGCCCCAAGCAGCAAGCTTGGGGTGAAAACTCCAGATGGGATCGGAAGACTTACTGCAAGGATTATTAAAATGAATTTCAGGAAAAAGAAACAAGCTAGATTTATCAAGATTGATGGCCTATCCCAATGACTCCTATCTTGCTCATTCAATGGAGTCTGAGAGAACATCTCCTGTAAGATTGTCTTCTCTGGCATTCTCATGTAATCAATTGGGTAGGAACATAGCCCAATTAATAGAGCAACTGAAGTACAGATCATCCATCTGTTTGAGAAAAATGGGAGCTTGAGCTTTGTCCTGAAAAGATGAGGTTATTTATCAAGCTAATAAACAGCGCACCTAAAGCTCCACATATCACAGCAAGAATCACATAAGCTATATATTGTGAATCAAAATCAAGGAGGATCAAATTAGTAGGCTCAAATATTACAGATGAGTGTATGAGAGATAAAAATTTCAACCCAATAATTGTTCACCCAGCTCAGAAAAATGCTTTCCACATATCATTGACTAAGTAATATGTTGTAGTTACTTCAATACTAAACAGCACTCCTCCAATAGGAGCTACAAATGTTGCAGTAACTCCAGCTGCTACTGATGCAGCTAACATCTGGCGTTTAAGTATGTTGTCGCTTCCAATTTTCTTAAAGAAATGAAATTTGCTCATTCTGTTAGATATGCAAGCTGCGAGATGTACATAGGGGCCTTCTTTGCCAATAGAAAACCCTGTTGCTAATGCACCAAAAATGCCAAGAATCTTGCTTAAAAGCGTTTTGAATGATAAATATTTGTAAATATACACTCCAGCCAATATTGATTTTAATTCAGGTATCCCAGATCCTTCAGCATGCTGATTAAAATATCCTGCTGAGGCAGCTATTGTAGAGAATACAAGTGCAAAGAGAATCCATACAAAATAGCCTAGAATAAACTCTCCTTGAAATACATCCTCTATCAAGTAACTTTTCAATGCTTGAACCAGAAAAGCTGCATAATCTATTGCAAAGCAAATAATAGCAGTTGATAGTCCCACAAGCAATAAAAATATCCATTCTGAGGGGTTGAAAAGGTTAAATGATTTCTTGAGCTCCTTTCCTGAGAATTGTTTCAACTTCTTGACTTGCACCTTAGCATCGTTAGTCAGTCTATCATCATGCATTCCAAAGAAATCATCGACTGTATAGCTATGAGATAGTTTTCTCTTAGGCTTCATTTTCAATATTATTAATCGTAAACGGGGTTTTGGGGTTTTGGGGTTTTGGGGTTTTGGGGTTTTGGGG